TATAAGGCCTTCTTCAACCTACAAACCTTTCCTTTGGTTTTTTGACAATCAAACCCCGAAGGGATATCCATGTAGACTTCATCTTCTAAATCTCCATGCAAAAAAGCATTTTTTACATGATGTAAGTCCCAGTTTAGGTTGGCTGCACATGATAGTATGATTCTGATTGTGTTCATCTTTGCAACTGGAGCAAAGGTCTCTTGGTGATCAACACCATAAGTCTGAGTGTATCCTTTTGCAACCAACCTAGCCTTGTACCTTGCTATTGAGCCATCTGCCCTGTGCTTTGCTGTAAACACCCACTTACATCCCATTGGTTTCTTTTCTACTGAAGAAGTAACAAGATCCCAAGTTTCGTTCTTTGCCAAGGCTTTCATCTCCTCCACCATTGCTTCCTTCCATTTTGGATCTTCATACGCTTCTTGCCAATCCTGTGGGATAGAAACAGAAGAAACAGACAAGACAAAGGCTCTATAGGAAGAAGACAAAGAGTCATAGGGAACAAATTGAGAGATGGAATGTTTAGTCCAAGATCTCACACCTTTCCTGAGAGCAATAGGAATATCAGTGTCATCAATAACAAGATTAAAAACAGGGTTAGAATCAACATCATGTATTATAGAAGTTGTATTAGAAGTAAGGGTAGTAGGAGATGTGACCGTATTGGTTTTCCGGACCTGATTGCAAGGAAGACGGTTGGACATTGGGATCATGCACAATGGCACTAGTCTTCTCCCTTTTGCTGTATCTCTTTAAATCTGGCCTATCTAATCTCTCTCTTCTCTGAATCTGATGATCCCCGTTGGGTTTTGATTCATCTTTTTTTGTAACTCTTCATCAACATTAACAAGGTTCATAAATTGTTTAGGTACAGATATAGACGTAGGAGTCATTCCTATTCCTTTTTCCTCTTCTTCTATCCTAGTCTCCCCCTGAAGCGGAGTGGGGGAAAAATAAGGTTCAGACTCTCTAAAGGTAACGTCCATACTCACATAATATTTTCGAGATGGAGGGTGATAGCACTTATACCCCTTTTGTGTGGAAGAATAACCAACAAACACACATTTCAAAGTTTGAGGTTCTAATTTGCCTCCATGCCTGTGATGAACAAAACACACACAACCAAAGACTTTTGGTTGAATAGTATATGTGGTGTGACCTTGTAGGGCTTCTATAGGATTCATAAAGTTCAATGTTCTAAGGGGCATTCTGTTAATTAGATATGTTGTAGAAAGAACAGCATCTCCCCAGTAGGTTTTAGGCACATTCATAGTAAACAAGAGAGATCTAGTCACTTCTAACAAATGTCTATTTTTCCTTTCTGACACCCCATTTTGAGCACTCATGTTCACACAACTAGTCCAATGTATGATTCCTTTGGAATCTAGATACGCTTGAAACATTTTCTCCATGTACTCTGTTCCATTATCAGTTCTCTATATTTTAACATTGGCACCAAATTGTGTACTAATCATATTATCAAAGGATTGAAAACAAGAAAGCACTTCACTCTTTGTTTTCAACAAATAAACCCAAGTTAATCTAGTACAACAATGAATAAAAGTAACAACCCACCTATATCCAGATAATGAAACAATAGAAATCGGTCTCCATACATCAGAATGAATAGTCATAAAAGGAACAATACTTTTTTTATTATGAGAAACATAAGTGTTTCTTGCATGTTTAGCAAGTTCACAGGCATCACAAACTAAGGAATCTAACAGAATTAGCTAAACAAGCTAGGATATAACCTTTTAAGAACAACAAAAGAAGGATGTCCTATCTGCCTATACCACATAATAGCTGTTTGACTAGTACTAATACTTCCTAACAATGCTCGGGGAACTTTTGAGACTAGGCCACGGCTACTCTTCTCAAGGAGATATAGGCTATCGTGCAATCTATCAAATCCAATCGTTTCCCCTCTTCTCAGATCCTACAAAACATAATGAGTGGGAAAGAACTCAACTTTGCAGTTTAGGGCCTTAGTAATGGCATTAATAGACAAAAGATTTACTGGAAAGCTGGGAATATGAAGAACAGAATCTAAATTGATGTTAAGAGTGCACTGAATAGAACCTGTTCTAGAAATAGATGTAAAAGAACCGTCTGCAATACAAACAGTTTCTTTGCTAGAACAAGGTGAGTATGCAAAAAATTTATTAGATGAGCCTGTCATATGATTGTTTGCTCCTGAGTCTATAACCCATGGATCATCAACAGAATCAGCTAGAAGAGCTATACCTGAATGCACAAAATTAGAGGAAGCTTCTGGAGTGGATGAAGAGTTGAGCTGTGTTATAAGACGTCTCAAGGTTTGTACTTCTTAAGCAGATAAACCTCCAGCTAGGGTTGACGAGACTACTTCAGGACCTGCAATTGCCTCAGCTTGATAAGCAACATGTCGAGTAGAACTTGGCCTTCTATCCCCACGGCCACAACCACATCTGCTAGTTGGTCGCCCATGTAACTTCCAACATATTCCTTAGTGTGTCCTAATTTTCCACAATGGTCACATCGGTGGGAATCCTCCTCAGATGAAGTACGAGTAATTTGTACAGGTTGAGAAGCCATAAGTCTGGTTCTTTTAGACGGCCCGGTGGATAACATCACACCTCTCCTACTCTCCTCCTACTGAACATATGAGTATGTTTCCTCTAAAGAAATCATAAGACTCTTTCCCAACATCTGGATTCGAATCGGGTCATATTCAGTATGCAATCCCGCAAGAGACTCTTAGACTCTCTCAGTCTCAACCTTCTTCTGGTATCCAACCATGTCTTCTTCGCACTTGGGATGATAAGTCTCATAGTAGTCTAACTGTTGCCATAGGTCATTTAAAGCGGCATAGTATTGGTTAACTGTTAGTTCCCCTTGCTTCAAGCCATGGACTTTGTTGCAAAGCTCATACACTCGAGCAAAATTACCATGCTGAGAGTAGGTCTTAGTCACAATTTTCCAGATTTTTGCTGTGGTATCCAACATCAAATACCCATTTGCAATTCTAGGTTCCATAGAATTTATTAAACAAGACATAATTAATGAGTTTTCAGAGTCCCATTTATCATAACTGTCGCTTAGAGGTGCAGGTGAGGCTTTAGAACCCGTAATATAACCTTGTAACCCTCTAGCTTTGATGAACAATAGGCATGACCTCGACTATGCAAGAGAATTAGTACCATTGAGTTTTACTGGACTGATTTGCAGTGAGGGATTGTCATGTGAAGAGACAACTTTAGCGTCAATACCATCACCCATTGTAAAAACAGGAAAACACACCAAACACAGGTCTGAAAAAACACCCGAAAAAGAGGCAAAACCGGAAAGACAGCCCTGGAAACGCGAGAATCAGGGCATAAAACAGTCTAGGAAGAGGCGCAACACCATGGCAACGCTGCTGGAGTGGTCTGACAGTGGCCGGAAAATGCGCCACGCGTCGGCATGTGAAGAACAGTGCAGAAGCTTCAGGAGGCGCGTGAGACCACACGCGGCGTCAGACGGTGGCCGGAAAACGGGCAAGGGCCGATCGGTGACCCCTCTTCCACCTGGGCTGGGCGGTGTCAACCCACTCTCTCTACTGTCCTTTCTCTCTCTACTGTGTTTAGGCTAAGAAAAGGTCAGCTATGGCTCTCATACCATGTTGTTTTTATGTGAAGAGTGATAAGTTTCTATTTTTCATCTTGTGTAAACAATGGTTATACATCTATTTGTACATAGGAAGTATATTGAAATACCTAAGTCTACCCTTTACACTTAAGATCAATAAATATCACATAAAACTCTACAAGACAACAAACCAATTCTTTTGGATTCTTCTTTTGCGGATTCTCTCACCTTCATTCTATCACTGTCCTACAATTTATTCTTCACCAAACAAATTACAAAAATCTAGCTGTAAAACAAACTAATGACTCAATGAACCAAATTTGAAACTGAAAAACTAAATTGACAGTCTAGTATAAATTGAAAGGCCAAGTTGACTTTTTGGTCTTATTAATAAAAATTCCTATTTCTATTATTAATAATAATAGAAATAGGAATTTCTTTTAATTTTTGACCTAAAGTAAAAATAGAAACTATTTCAAATTAGGGTAAAAGTGATGAAATTAAAGGCCTAGGCTAAAAATGCAGAAGCACTAAAAGGTTAGAATTTTTTTTTTTTTTTTTTTTCTCACTAGATGATAAAATAATACCTAGTGTTGCTTGTTACTTTTCAAACTGAATAGTAAACTTTCAAAATCAAGCAATCCTAAATGGCATAACCATTGCCTAATAATACTTCCCTTTCAAATTTCAAACAAACTTGAAAAAGCAAGAAAGTAAAAGGCATGACTTGTGATGCTAGTGCTAATTATAATTTATTTCATAAAAAAACTGCTGTGAGGGAACAATTTATCATCAAGATCCTTGTACTCTTTTAAGCAATAAAATAGTAGTAGAGCAAAGAAAAATGGGGAATATGTAGGAAATAAAAGCTATAAAAGATGTATGTATTTTCTCCTTGTTTAATTGGAAGAGAAATGAAAGAAATTAATTAGTGAAAATTTTGTAGTATCTCTGGGAAAGTGAAGAAAATAGGAGGAAGGGAACTTACACATCATAAATTTCCCTTCCTTCGATTCCCCCTTTAACGTTAATTGTCTTCTAGTATAACTTGTTTCTTCTTCAAAATATTCTTAATATAAACAACTTACTCCTATTTATCGAGGCCCCTTCAATCTATCTTCAATTTGGATCACTACTCAGTAATAACATTAAATAGGGATTATATCACATGGGAGACAATCTTATGCCATATATTCCACACTTCTTTGAAAATATATTATTTAGGGGTTGTACTGTAGTTAACAAGTTTTACTTGGTTTGTTGGCATTGTCTAAACTACAAAAAGCTCCTGTCTGGATCTGATGGACATGGCATATTTTCCTCTTCTAAGTTTTGTTTTGAGCACACATGACTTTATTCTTCTTTTTACCTTATTGGTGATCTCCTTGCAGGGGGGCAATAGGGCAGCCAAGGCTATTGGTTCCTGTTGTCTTGGTCATGATATATAACCGTTGGAATGGGTAAGTGCTCCTTGTAGGATACTATTATTGGTATATTGCCCTGTATGGTAGGGTTATTCATGAGTTGGTTTGATTCGGTTTGAGTAGTAATCGAACCAAGCCTAAAGCGACTGGTTTAAAAAAAATTTAAATCAAACCAAACTATCAAAAATTTCAAACCAAACCAAATCCTTAGTGGCAGTTTGGTTCTGTTTGGCAGTTTTTGATCAGTTAAAAAAAAAGAGAAATTAAACTTTCTCATTCATCTAGTTAACAAGAAAAAAAAAAAAAAAAAAGATTAACATTATACTAGATGTAGAAAATGAATTAACATAAACTATGACATAAAATATACATGATTCTAAGTAGTTGTTCAAAGTTTTTAAATTAATTTTTTTATACGTTTATTCCGAGTATGGTCCAAACAAGGTTATATATTCAATAGGACATTAATTAAGCAATATATAAATATAGAATTTAAATGTTAATTTATTTATGTATTTATTACTAAAAAAATTATACAAAACTATAGTTTTGCTCATGTACATAATCTGTACATAATATATACCAATCTATTTTTCATGAGTCTTCAACATTTTAACTTTCATAAAATAATTATATAACTTACCTAACTAATATGAACTTTTGGTTTAATTTCCTATCTAATATAAACTAATCAATGCAAAGGAAATTTTCATTCAAAGATTGAATTGAATTATTTGTCATTTAAAAGTCCACAATATATACATTTTTAACTTTCATAAAAATTAATTATATAACTTACCTAACTAATATGAACTTTTTGGTTTTTAATTTCCTATCTAATATAAACTAAATCAATGCAAAGGAAATTTTCAATTAAAGATTGGAATTGAATTATTTGTCATTTAAAAGTCGCACACTATATATATATAATATATATATATCTATAATATATATAATATAATATAGGTTCGATTTGGGTGGTTTTTGGACCATACCATAAACATATATAGGTTCGATTTGGGTGGTTTTGACCCAATACCATAAACCGAAACAAGCTTGGTTTTTAGATCTACAAACCAAAGCAAACTATCAATTTTATAAAACTGCAGTATTGTGGTGGTTTGCCCAGTTTAATGAACAGCCCTACTGTATGGTGCTTGAAGGGGCTTCTTTGTTATATCAATTGCTGCTCCTGTATAGTTTGGGTTTATAATTGTGATTTCGTTGATCACACTTGATCTTTGTATGCATACATACCTACAGAAAATTGGAAAGCAATCATGAATCATCTATACTGGACTTGGACTTAAGTTGTTTCTTCCTCCTTTTTTATGTTTATTTATTTATGTACTTTTTTTAGAAATGTTCTTCACATTATGTGGTGCTGTTCTTTGACACCCAAGATTATAATTTTTGTCTTTGATCTTTGCTATTTTTTCTTTTGGCAATGGAGTCTATTTTGATGGATCCTTTCAAAAGGTTTTGCTACATAATCAAATATTAAATGTTGGATTTGTAGTATTCATCAAATTTTTATGAGATGAATTTCAACTTGTTATGATTCCTCACATTGCTTTTTGGATTCAGGATCCTAGTTCAAGATTACGGATTTATGCACTTAGAACTAATTCCAATGTTAGTGGGATTTTTCACATACAAGATTGCGACTTTCATTCAAGCCATAGAGGATGCACTTCCTGTATCTGTTGAAAAGACGACTTCAAGATGAATTTTCATATGTAGAGATTAGCAGTTATGACATATACATCATGGTATTTTTGTCTGGAGGCAAATATTTAAAGAATCCTACTGGGCAGATTCTCATTAAACAGAAAATTATCGGTGGCAAGTAATAGGTAGGAAGTGCCACTGTGTTATATGCTGGTATAGAAAATGAAGTCCAAAATGAAATACATGGATTAGTTATATCTGTATATGGGCTGGAGAACTGTAATTACAAATGAAACTCAACATGAAACTGTAATCTTCTTGCAAGTCTCTGTATTCTTCAGAAATCCAGTGCTTATAATTTAGTTAACTTAAATTTATTTTCCAACAGTTTTTCTTTCATGACAATTGACAAACTGATATCATTGCATGTTTGGTTATGTGGTAGAGGGAATTTGCCCAAATAATATTAAAGCAAGCAATTTGCTGAGCGACTAGTTAATACACTCTTAGGACTAATAATTACTAATAACCATTTAATGCTTAATTTAGGCTGTGCAAGTTCAATTTCAGTTCAATTCCTGAGAGGAATCTGGAACTAGAACCAAAAGTTCAGTTCTTTCTTTCTTAACAAACTAGAAAACTAGAACCCAAAGTTCACTTCTTGTAATTCTTAGCGTGATCCCAGTTCAGTTTTTACATTTTAGGCTCTCTGCTTGTTTGCGGGAAATAAGTTGCTGTAAAATATTTTTCATAATTTTTCGTTGTTTGAGGATTAAGTGAAAAATTAGTTAAGAAAAATACTGTGTTAGTCAACAGTAAAATAACATTGGAAAATAACATGGAGTACGGGAAATAATTTACTCTTGTAAAGGCAACACATTTTATGAAGGCAATAAGCAAGCTAACTTCTCTAGACGGAAACACCCACCGCCGGCGAAAACACAAATCTCAAACTCTTCGGTGTTCACTAAATGGAAACGCATAGCGCCTATCGCCCATCTCCGGTTAATCATATTTCTGCAATCTTCTAGAGGTTAGGGTAATTTCTACTTGACCAAATTGATTGATCTTTTTGTTAGATCTTCAAAAAAAATCTACTTCTTATTATTTATTATTGAATTATTGTTAGGTTTTGTTAATTTCTTTAAAAAAATCTTCTATACCCTTCTGTTTTTCTTGGGAAAATTCAGTTTCTTGGAAAATTTTCTAGGAAGTTGAGGATTGCTACACACTCTGATTCTTGTAATTATCATTCTGAATGATTACAAATGTTAGCCCTGCATTTACTTTTAGGATGTCAACTAAAATTTGGAGAGTAACTTCATGGCCAGCCCCTCTTACTGATACAAATGTTAGCCCTGCATATACTTCTGTCCAGCCTCCCACCTTCACAATACCAGAAAAATCCGATACTATGGAATTTGATTTCATTGTCTGGTTGCTATTACTCCATAAATGAAGTTGAAAATCAATTTTTAAATATGCTTAGCTTTGAGCGTAGTGTCTGTGAATATGATTTATCTTATTTAATAAAACAACCATACTATATTGTAAAGCGTTAATGATAGAAAATAGAAAAAAAATATATTATCTCTTATTGTTTAAGGTAAAAGAAGTGCATAAGAAATAAGTACAAGTATCTATGCTTGTTTGATTAATATTAGAATATGGACAAGTGGCTTTAATGGAATGATCATGTTAAAATTCCCTTTTGAAATGATCATGTCAAAGTTTTTGGAGGACCATTGATTCTGTATTCAGAAAAATAGCCAATGCTCATATATATATAGAAATGGACAAGTGGCTTTAATCGGAGATTCATAGTTAAAAATTCTTTATTGAAAATGAATACAGTCAAAAGTTTTTTGGAAGACCATTGATTCTGTTTATTCAGAAAAATAGCCATAATGCCTCATATATATATTTATATATATATTAATATATTTTTTATGATGCGTGCTTTATTTACATAATTAACATATTTCTGGATAAGATGTTGATGATTTCATGACTAAGTCGCATCTCTTATCAGAGTGACCTTCTTATTAATTTAATGTTCATATTTAATTTTTAAATATTTATACAATTCAAACTCAAAACGTTTTTTAATTATTTTTATTAACACAAGCAAAAGTACTGGTTAATTATTTGAAATTTACTTTTTTAAATGTGATTTGATACTTGTTATAATAAGTAATTTTCAATCTGAATTTTATAGTAAAAAGGATCCTAGTCCTTATATTGTTGGTATCAGAGCCTTACAGTTTAATTATGCTTATTATATTTTATTTTTATAAGTATTTCACAATTTTTCTGGATTTACAATAAAATAGTTTTAAGGGGGGTATGGGCCCGAGGGCGTGGGAGGGCGGGACAACATTTTAGGTTTATAGCTCGTGTGTTTGAATAGGCTGAGTAGGTATAACCAGGCAGTGGCCGCGATCTTGTTGATTATCATAAAATGGATCCTTTATTATGTAGATCTAATAGTAGTGTTAAATCTGATGATTCTGAGTCTTCAGAAATTAAAAGGGTCATAAATAGAAACGAATTAATTTTGCAAGATTTTAGTAAAGCAATTGATGAATGAGAGATTCCTAAAGTGGATAAAGAACAAATATATAAAGTTTCTAAATTTAATTTATTTAAAACCGATTATGTCATTAAAACTGAAGAAAGAGATTTTCAATTAAGTAAACCTTTTGAAAGAATAACTCTTTTGTCTTCGAAAACGTTACAACATCATAAAAGTAAAAAATATAAAAAGTAAAAAATATAAATATATTCATATTGGATTAATACAAGTAGGAATAAAACCTTTAACTAGAGAAGGATTAAACACTAGTATTCTTGCCATGGTAAGAGATGCTAGATTCTTAAATTTCCAAGATTCTTTATTAGGATCTGTCGAAACTAGTCTTAGTGAAGGGCCTATTTCTTTTGAGGTATACCCAGACATGACAGTTTCTCTAAATGATTAAAATATTTTAGAAAGTATAATTTTAGAAATTAAAACACATAATTATAAAATGAAGCAAGGATCAATTCCTATAGCTTTAATTTATAAAATTCATTTATAAAAATTCATTATAAAGCCAATGAATTCAGCTTTTGGTTACTAATATAAATTATACCTAAAATTGGGAAACTGATTTCTTTCAAACCAGATTCTTAACTAAAATACAATACAGTAATTCCCTAAAACCATTCAATGGAAAGATATAACACTCCAGAACGAATGGTTTTTTGGAAGGAGTTGTACCCTCCGACTATTCACAAAAAAAGTAAAACCAAAACATAAAATTTACGAAAAATTGAACATAAATTTGAAGATGGTAAGAGTTAATTAAAATTTAATAGATAGTCAAAGTTCTAGGTATGCAGGATCATCTTCTCTGTTACTTAAGAGATGAAAATGATTTAAACCTACTTCATCTATTACCTTCTGTTATTTATGCTAAGTATTTATAGACATTTGAGCCTAAACCAATTATCCAAACATTAGTAAACACCGACGATATTCTACTCAGATATTCCGCAAATTTAAATCAATCTCTAAATGAAAGGTGTTTGATTCATAGTAATTTCTATATACCAACAGTGTCAGTTTATATCACTGTTGATAATTTACTTAAAACCACACCAATCCAATTCCTAGTAAATTCCATCTCCAGAATCACCAACAGCTTCCAGGCTATAATTGAAAATGTTTAAGTGATATAAATAGAGAATTAAATGTTCTTAGTAAAGATGATATTGAAAAAAGTTTAATAAAAGAAATATCTAAACAAAAAATTTAATTCAAATGAAAGAAGATATTAAAAACTTATACTTTTTGAAGAATTTAAATATAATACTTAGATTAATAAAATAATAATCAAACTATGAAATTAAATTCTTTGATTGGTATAAATTAATTAAAAAATAAATCTAATAAAAGTGTAAATCCAATAACAATTCGAGATAAAGAACCAGAATGGATAGTAAATGAACAAACAATAAAAAGTGAATTTCCTCCTAAAACCATTAGTAATTTAAAATATCAAAGATAAAATGAGATTATAATGTGTACCCATATTAAAATTGCTCAAAGAAATGATGCAAATAAAAAAGTAATTGAACAAAATAATTTTAGTAATGTTATGTCCTAATATGTTTAAACCACACAATTAAAAAGGATTTGAAAATTTTATTAGAAGATAAAACGATTAATAAATGAAAATGTAAAAGTAAGATAAGATTAAAATCTCAACTCTTTTAACCCTTTTCAAAATTTTCTCAGACTAGTCAAAAAGATTGTAAATAAACTAAAAGATCAATTAAGTAAACTTGAGGTTCGTTCTGAGACAACTCAACAAGTAGCTCCAGACACCCCTCAAGCTTCAAGAAATATAAACATTTTAGAAGAAAATACTAATTTTGAGGTTAGTGAACCTGACTCAGAAGATATTAAAAAATTTGAAATAAATCCTATAACCCATAGAGAAATAGTAAATAGGGCACCAGACCTAGGCATAATTGATAAACCTAACACTATATCTCAATTTAAATATAATGCAACAACTATATATGAATGGTATATAGATGGACTTTCTGAATATAATATATTGAGTATTCTGCTGAGTATTCTACAGCAGATGACTATGGCTGCTAATGCATATAAAACTCAATCGATTATTTCAGATAGGGCTATCGCAGAAATAATTATAGCTGGCTTTACGGGTCAATTAAAAAGTTGGTGGGATTATCATTTAACTGACCAACAACATTTAGAAATATTAAATTCAATTCAAGTAAATGATGAAGGTGACCCTATATATGATGAGAATGGTGAAGTAATTCAGGATGCTGTGTCATCTTTAATTCTCACTATTTCTTTACATTTTATAGGAGATCCGTCTCACTTATCTCAACTTAAAAAGATAAAAATGCAGAAATTATTTAAAGTAATCTTAAATTATTAAGTAATCTTAAATGTAAACAACTAAGTGATTTTCAAAATTATAAAACAACTTTCCTCACTCGATTAATGCTAAGGGAAGATTCCAATCAAAGCTTTTGGAAAGAAAAGTTATTGGCAGGATTACCTTATTTTTTGGGTGAAAAGGTTAGAAATTATATTAAACAACAATATGGTCAACATATACCTTATAGTACATTAACTTATGGACAGTTAATTAGTATAGTTCAAAAAGAAGGTCTACAAATCTGTCAAGATTTGAAGCTTCAAAGAACATTAAAATATGAAATGCATAAAACTAAACAAGAACTAGGATCGTTTTGTAAACAATTTGATTATGGTATCACATCTTCTAGAAGATGCGATGGACAGTGTTCTAGAACACCTAAAACTAAAAAACATTATAAAAATAAAGATTATAAAAGGC